GGATGGAATCAGAGAAAAATGGGGTATAGCGGGTAAAAAGGGAATAGTAGAGAAAGGTGAAGAGACGGAGGACAAAGCGAGGGAGAGGTAGAAAAAGAGGTAGGATCAGAAGAAAATGGATAGTGAGGTATAGAATCAGAGAGAAATGGACAGCAAGCGATACAATCAGAGAGAAATGGTTAGAAAAGAATGGAATCGGACGGAAAAAGATACAAAGGGAGGGGAAAGGAGGGAGAGGGAAAGAGAAATGGTGGACGAAGGGCAAAGAAGTGGGGGTCGGTGAACGCGAGTTCTATCTGTCTCAATTTCTCTACCGGCGTTGCAACGGTGGCTGCAAGGACGAAAAGCCGGATAGGTGTCTGGCAGACTCCACCCGCGCGACACTGACTTCTTTCGACTAAGAACCTCGCTAAACGACGTAACTTTTATCGTCGAGCATCCCCCTTCTTTCGACTCCCATCTCTTCCTCTCTCACTCTGCACGATCTCCGGCGACTTTGCAAACTGAGCTGTTACAAGACGGCGTCGCCTGATGGGCGGAAGGTTCAAGGGAGGCTCGAAGTCGTTTAAACTTCTATGAGGGTTTGACGCTCGCTCGCCGTCGCCCCCCGACGTCCCGCATCGCCCCCGAGTCGTCCGCGTGCTGGAAAAATAAGGGATAGGGTGATCGTTGCTCGAATTCAGTTACTCTTCGTTCAGCTGCGAGATAAGTGTTAACCCTTAACAATGCCATAAATATAGCAGTCACTTACTGGGTCGTTTTATTATTTTCATCAGTGTTACTGTTGGGATATTTATTATTAACGTGTTCAGTATCGTGCCAGGTGCAACAAATGAAATCAATGAAAATCTCCTAGTTTCATTCACGGCGGATTATCAAACGAAAATCCCTTTAAAAAATCAAGAAAACTACCATAACACTTTCTCTCTCGCGCGAAAATTCCCAGCGTTATTCCCATCGAAAAGCGGACTCGCTTTTAAGCTGAACAGTAGTTATCCCGCTCGCTAAATTCCCATCGAACCGGGCAATTTTGCATTTTGTACCGGCGTTATCAAGCTGGACACGCCGATTGATAGTCGCGCTCGTTGCTCCGTAGCTCGTTGTCCGTGGCAACCGGAAATAAAAAATTCCCTGGAATATAATTCCGGCGAAACCGAAAATTTCGCCGGTTCGCGCGAGAATCGTTGTCTCGCTTTCGCGCGTGTTCGGAGCGCGATCGAGCGTGTTCGAAGTGCGATCGCGTTTCGGCCGCCGCCATTAATATGCAATTTGTCGCCGCGAGGCGGAACGCAAAAATACTGGAAATCCGTCGCGCGTGTCCGCGCGATCGCGTGCACGCGGACGCGGCCATCTCGGTTTAATCAACGAATTCTGGGCCCGGGGTTACACTGCGTGATTCAATCGAATTCCGGGCTGGATATTTCAATATCGGACGATTGAATTTTCGTACGGGGTGGCTGGGGGGCCGACCGATGTGTGTTAAGCTCTTAAAAAAGTGATATCGTCGACGCGCAAGCGACGCTTCGGGGATAGACAGCTTTCGGGGACAACGGTGAAACAATTAAAGCAGAATTTAATTCCATCGATCGATCCCGCGCCACTAAATATTACGGTTTTTGGGGGGGATCTCCGGTTTAGAGGATTTCCAGGGGAGGGGGCTGGCGTGTTTTTCGCCTGAATTCGCTGGAAGATTTTTGAACGCGAAACCGAAGTTTTAGCAGTCTTTGGGTTTTCGGTACATTTAGATGTAGATTTTGTTTAATAGAAGTGGAAACGGTGGAGTTTTATTCGAGTTTTTCGTCGGTTCGCGGTCGAGATTCGAATTCCCGCGGAACGACGCGCAAAATGGAGTTGCTGGTATTAACGATCGGTAATACAGGTTTCTAATTTCGCGTCAAGATGTCGGGTCGGTGTAGATTCCGAGTTTCTTTGAAAAAATGCAAATAATGCAGGAGTACACTGATTTTGAAGTAGTTAGTGTAAATTACTTGGAATAAGTGTCATTTGACGTGACACATGGTTTATAATAATTATACGGATCCCGAGCGGAATGCTGTATTCTTGTTTCAAGATGGCGGATGCTTGACGAATACAATGTACGGAATCTCTAAAAATTCGTCAGTTCTGTGAATAAAACGAATGATTCTAGCAAACCTAGATAGATAGAATTCTTCGAGCTTGTTAATTATGAAATATAAAATATATAATATCCCTGCCACTTTGAATATTAAAAAGAAAATTATTCATCGTCCTTTATGCTTCGAAAATAGGCAAGAAAACATTATTTTATGTTAGTAATCGTATTATTGTTCAAAAATAGCGTTGAATCAGGAACGATTACCTTCGCAGACGAGTTGTTTAGCCTCCCCACGATGAAAGGACAGCTTCCGGTGGTGACGGGCTGATGTTTGGGATCCGGACGTCATCGGGACGACCCCCACGATCCCCGGATGACGTCTCGGTTCACGCAATATCCGTCATTTCAACCGTCAGGAACCGCGACGCGTCGCAAAACAAATCTTCCTCTCGAAACGAGCGACGTCTGTGTTGCTTTCGCCCGCTCCTGGGTAATTACGTCTCGACACCTGACAGTTATTACGAGATCCTGTACTGATTCCGTGTGCGGCAGAGCCGCCCGGAATCCGTACCTATTAACGAGCTGCACCAACACACTAGCAAGACCGTTAAATGATCCGAGAATTCTGACACGATAATTAACCGTGCAATTGCCAGTTGCATTTTTACTTCGCGATCATCATAGACTTTCATCATTTTACATAGATTCAGGTCTACAACTTTGGTCTACACTTTAAGTTGTATAATTCAGTAATTCATAAATGATTAAAATCAAACGTGAGATTCCAAAACTTGTTCTATCAATTCGAAGTATTTCAATATTTCCAAAATTATCTGTAGACGATTAAATTATCGAGACATTTCGAGGCTGTATTTAAACCATTAGAAATCTCTTTATTCTCATTTCCGTACTGATTGAGCTGCAAATTAACGCAAATCCGTTTGATGGAATTATTCAGATCCACGCGCGCGAGCCGAGTCCGATACTAGTCACTCCAGAATTTAATCAGTCCTATCAGAAGAATACACACGAGGTACATTCAACTGAAATTACAGGAATATCCCGGTAGTACACGGTTAATCCAACACGCATTGTCAAATTCATTTCGAAATCCATTTCCATTAAATTCCTTTTAATTTTAAACAAGCCGCCATCAACCCGGTAATGGCGGGCCGTATTGCGGTGTACGGCGAATAAATAAATATCAACCAACGACACACGTGCCTCCGTATGCGCGCACGCACACATATTTCTTAGTTTTTAAATTCTCTTGTTTGTTTCATCCAGCGCGCATCGGATCCTCAATTAGTTTCTCCATTACCATTTCTGTCCATTGTTCGCGTTTAACAGCGCATCTGGGAGCAAACACGCGCTCCTAGCTCCTCCAGTTGCCATTACCACTAACACGTTAATGCGAGTGTACAATAACCAACGATCGTCCACCGTAACCTCGTCGTTTTGCAAAAACAACGATGCCACCCTTGGCGTCCCGGCGAAAGACAACTTAGTTGATCGCGTTTATTATTCATAATGGGTTGTTTCAAATTCAAATCACCGGTGTCCCAAGTTTGCACCGAAGTTGTTAGCTATGCGTCCAGCTCGTTGTGAACTTCCTATGCCAAACAGGGCAACAGTGAGATGCAGTCGTTAGGTTTACTACTAGGTCTACTAGTGCTTCTGGTTAAGTTCATTAAAGCTACTACACGCCGCTATATTAGCTTCCGCGTGTATCATCTTTTCAAACGGCACAATTCTTTGTCATCGATAGTTGTGTACACCACAGTCTAATATACCGTAATTGCATAGCGAATTCTATCAGTAAATCACAGTGATACTACATTCATGAAATTCTATTCTATAAATATACTTCTGATTAGATATAAATAATATTCATAAGGTAACCTTTCAAAAAACTAGACCCATCCCACGTCACACGTTAACTGCTTCATAACAGAAAATTCAAGTCTCCGCCAGCGCAATATCGCCAGCGAATAAATTGCAGCAGAAGGAGTTAATCGAGGCGTTTCTCTATGGTTCCAGAGTTCTTGGCATGCGTAGGCCGAGGGAGGAGCCAGGGGGCGAGCTGAACAGGACCGAGGAGCATGGCGTAGCGCTCGTTTCGGGGCTGGCTCGCAGATCAAAGGACAAAGCGAAAGAGGGTCTGGCCGCTCTCGAGCGATTCGAGGGCCGGTGAGCATCGCGACGGGGCAAGCAACCCCGTTGCCTCGGCCAACGTCTAACAACCCTCCCGTCTGTCACCGTCGACGAACAACAGAACAGGTAGGGATGAACGCTTCCAGCTGTTCCCTCAAACGATCCACCTTTTTCCTCTCTCTTCCTCGCGCCGGGATCGCATTAGCACGCGGGAAGGGACAGGGGACTAGGGTTCAGAGGGCGAGGATAATTCGGGATGTTTGTGTGCAGATGTTAATAGGGTTGATTTAGAACTGGATTGCAGACTTTGTTGTTGCGTTCCAGTTGGTCTATCGTCCATGATCCTTCTCGAGGGGATGTGTGTGTGTGTGGATGTAATTATGTAGATGCCTGGAGGTTTTGTAGTTTCAGGACCTGAAGATGAAGTCTGGAGTCTAAGTGCTTGGAGTCTAGATGTCTAGGAGCTTAAAATCTGGGTCTAGGTGTCTGAGAGTTTGGGAGTCTAGATGTTGGATGACTTGGAGTCTAAGTACAGAAGTTTAAGGATTCTAAGGTCCCAAGAGTTCAGACGTCCAGGAACCAAGAGTCCCAGAGTTTAGGACCCTAAGGTCCCAATAGTCTAGGAATTTAGGGAACCAAGAATCTGCAGGTGTAGAAGGTTAGGCAACCAGGAGCCTAAAAGTAAGTCTAGGAGTTTAGGAGTGTAAGAGCCTGATATTAAGGAGTTTAGGGCTCGAAGGTTAGGTCGAAGGTTCTAAGGTCCTAAGGAATCGGAGATTTAGGAGTCCAGCAACCTAAGGGTTGATTTTAGAAGCCCAAGTTCCTGAAAACTCAGGAATACAAGCCTGAAAGTCTAAGATTTTAGGAATCCAGCAGCTGTATAATTGCAGAGATTTCCAATAAGCATCAGACAGCAATAGAATAATTATCAGCTCCTCAGACCACAAATCGCATGCTTCGGTTTCATACTATCGATTTACAGCCTGCATGGAAGATTCCCACGCTAAAAAGAGTGTGCCCTGTTGCAACAAGAACCGATCAATCGCGAGTAATTTTTAATCTACAAAAGCGTCGCAGAAAAAGTGATACTTAATTAAAAGCCTTTTACCGACCGTCCGAATCGTTTCATCGGAACCAGCCGAACGCGTCCGAATAAATTGGATATATGTTTATTAAACCATGGGGCGAGGGAGTGTTTATCCGATGGGATCGATACGCGGCAATCATGTAACTTCATTACGTTCGTTCAGTAATACACTCGGCTTCTATCGTTCAGATTAAATCCAACGCGTCCGCGAATGTCCGTCGGGGCCGGTGGACACGATATATTTTCAACAAAGCGTGATTTGTGCGCCGCGTGCCCATGACGAAGAGATCTCTTTTCTTTATTAAATACCGTTCCGCGCCGCCCTCGATGTATCA